GGTGACATTTCCCTATTATTTGACTTTGTGGCTAATCAGAAGGGCTTTGTAACCTATTGTGATAACAACAAGGGAGCTATACTCGGAAAAGATAGTGTAGGTAATCCCTCTTATACTATTATCTCAGATGTCCTTTTAGTTGAGGGTCTTAAACATAATCTCATTAGTATTAGTAAATTATGCGACAAAGGATATAAAGTTTATTTTTCAAAATATTGTTGCTTAATTGAAAATAGTAATAAGGAACTTGTGTTTAATGGCTTGAGGGTTAATAATGTATATATGCTTGACTTGACTGAAGTATCTTTGACCGGTGCTAAATTTCTTGTCTCCATGAGCGAAGACTCATGGCTTTGGCATAGGAGATTAGCACATGTCAATTTTGAGTTGCTAAAAAAAATTGTATCAAAAGATCTAGTTGTTGGTTTGCCCAAAATAAAATTTTCTAAAGATCACTTATGTGATGCATGTCAGACGGGTAAGCAAACAAAATTTTCTTTTAAATCTAAAAAGATTATCTCTACAACTAAACCATTTGAACTTCTCCACATGGATATTTTTGGACCATCTAGAATAAAAAGTTTAGGTGGTAATTATTATGGTTTTGTTATAGTAGATGATTTCTCTAGATTTTGTTGGATAATTTTCTTAGCTAGCAAAAGTGACACTTTTTCGGCGTTTGAAAAATTTGCTAAGATGTTCCAAAACAAGTTAAACACTAAAATTGTTACAATCCGAAGCGATCACGGAGGTGAATTTGAAAACCATCTCTTTAAGGAATTTTGTAAAAAACATGGCATTGATCATAATTTTTCCGCACCACGCACTCCATAACAAAATGGAGTAGTGGAACACAAAAATCGTGTTTTAGAAGAACTCAGAAGAACTATGATCAATGAACATGCCCTTACGTATTTTTGAGTCGATGCCATAAGTATGGCTTATTATGTTTTGATTAGGATCCTAATCCGTCCAATTCTAAACAAAATTCCTTATGAACTACTAAAAGTAAGAAAGCCTAATATTTCACACCTTCACATTTCCGGATGTAAATATTTTGTGTTGAATAATGGAAAAGAAAATCTTGGTAAGTTTGATTCAAAAGCTGATGAAGGTATCTTTCTCGGATACTCTCAATCTAGTAAATATTATAGAGTATTTAACAAAAGGTTACAAATTGTTGAGGAATCCATGAATGTATCTTTTGATGAATCTTGTCCGAGATTGGTCGGAAAAGGTATTGTATTTGATGGTTAAGGTGTATCTTTGGAAAGTATACTTAAAGATTCAGATATTGAAAGCAATGAAAATAATTCTCAATTGGAATGTGAATCTATCAAAGAAAAAGATCCGGATACTAAAAGTAATGAAAATGATCTCCTATTAGAATGGAAATCTATCAAGGATCATCCCATCGACAATATCCTTGGAGATATCATAAAAGGAGTCACTACACGGTCCAAGATAAGTAACTTATGTTATCATTTTGCTTTCGTCTCACAAGTTGAGCCTAAAAACTCCAAAGACGCTTTACTCGATGAACATTGGTTTTTAGCTATGCAAGATGAGCTGAACCAATTTAAGAGAAATAAGGTTTGGTATCTTATCCCTTCTCCGCGATACCAATGCGTAATCGGCACTAAATGGGTGCTTAGGAACAAATTAGACGGAAACGGAATAATAACTCACAACAAGGCCCGCCTTGTTGCTCAAGGGTATAACCAAGAGGAGATCATCGACTATAAGGAAACTTATGCACTGGTCGCCCGACTCGAGGCTATACGCCTTTTACTTTCCTTTGCATGTTCACAAAATTTCAAGTTATATCAAATGGATGTTAAGAGCGTTTTTCTAAATGGCTATATTAATGAAGAAGTGTATGTATCTCAACCTCCCGAATTTAAAAACTATGAGTATCCTAACCATGATTACAAACTAAAACGTGCCTTATATGGTCTCAAACAAGCCCCTAGGGCTTGGTATGAATGCCTTAGCAAGTTTTTGTTAGAACAAGGATTCTCAAGAGGAATGATTGATACAAAACTTTTCATTAAACGCCAAGGAAAACATTTAATTTTAGTACAAGTTTATATAGATGATATCATATTTGGTTCTACTAATACATCCTTGGTCAAGGAGTTTTCTAAGTTGATGCAGGGAGAATTTGAAATGAGTATGATGGGTGAATTAAAGTACTTCCTTGGGCTTCAAATTAATCAACTCGTGGAAGGGACGTTTGTGAGACAAACCAAGTATTTTAAAGAACTATTAAAGCGCTTCGATATGGAAAAATCAAAGGTTATTAACACTTCAATGCCTACCGCGGTTAATCTTGATCGTGACGAACATGGTAAGCCGGTTGATGTAAAAAGGTATAGAGGTATGATTGGTTCCCTTCTTTACCTTACCGTTTCTCGTCCCGATATTATGTTTAGTGTATATATGTGTGCTAGGTATCAATCATATCCCAAGGAGTCACATTTAAAAGTCGTTAAACGCATACTTAGGTATCTTTGTGGTACGACTAAGTATGGGTTATGGTTCTCTGAGGGTAGTGATTGCTCTTTGGTTGGTTTTTCCGATTCTGACTTTGCCGGTTGCAAGTTGGATAGGAAAAATACTAGTGGTATGTGTCATTTCTTTTCAAATTCCTTAGTAAGTTGGCATATCAAGAAACAAGTTTTCGTTTCTTTATCAACTGCCGAGGCGGAATATGTCGCTGCCTGTAATTGTTGTGCCCAAATTTTATGGTTCAAACAACAATTACTTGATTTTGATGTTAAACTCGATCATATTCTGATATTTGTGATAACACTAGTGCCATAAACCTAAATAAAAAACCCGTTTTAGATTCACGCACCAAACATATTGAGATTAGACATCACTTCGTTAGGGATCATGTAGAAAAAGGCGACGTTGCATTTGAGCATGTTGATAGCACAAATCAACTTGCAGATATTTTCACAAAACCTCTTGCGACCGAGCCTTTCTTCCACATCCGTAGGGAACTTGGTGTTCTCGATATTTCGGATAGGTTGCAACTACATTAGTTGCATTATTCTTATTTATACTTGTATCGTCACGAATTATCTACACTCTTGTATCAAGTTACTTGTGAGGGAAAATTATCATCCCGCATCATATAGGTAATATCATTCTAACTCTAACCCTATTCTTGATAACGCAATTCGGTAAACTTGAAAATTCTAAATTTCTTGTGATAAATGTTTTTAGACCTTTGTGATGTGTGATATATGCTTAGGTGATTATTTATGCTTTATTGTGTCTTAAAATTTCATGAATATGTTCAAAATTGAAAAATAAGCATGCTTAGGTCGACCTATGTTTGAGAGCCGTCGACGCATACCGGAACCTATACTTCTCAAAATATCCATATTGAATGACCTATATTTTTCATCATGCATATTATGGTATACGCATTTTTGTGTGATTCCTTAATGGCGGGTTATTTTCCTCATTGATATGAGATAATTTTAGTGTGGTGTCTTTGCAACGGATTTGCCTTTGTGGCGTGTTTGTCTGTGTGACGGTTGTCTTAGTGGCAGACTGATTATATTCAGATCATATAGTTTAAGAACATGCATATTTTGCATCTAACTCTTTGTGGTTGTTGTTATTGTTATTAATCTTGAGTTAATTGCTTTATATGCATTCGGGTATGGTTACAAGATGATATTAATAACTTTGGTGAAATTGTTTTATTATTTAACTCTCTTGGACATGATATAGTCTATTTATATTTGTCTAATTTTTAACTCTTGTTTAGTTTATTTTTGACATGAAATCTGACCCTTACAACAATATTTTAAGTGCCGATATAGAGTTTTAAAGTGATTGATATTTGCCTGATGTGTGATGCGGGGAAGAAGTTTTAAAGTAATTTTGAAATTGTTTATTTAGTTTTTTTTTTTAATGAGTTAGAAACACAGTGATTTTCTGTTTAGAAATTTAGATTGACGTTGAATTGATTAAATTTTTAAACAATTTATTTCTTCTTAAATGAGTACTTTCGATAATTTCTAAATTATATCTTGGATGAAAATCCGAGTGTTACACTGTTGACAATATTCATACTAATGTCAAAGCCACTGAATATCACTTATGGGTCATTCAAGATCAGATTCAGACCATTGGAGGTGATACTTCTAGAGATATTGAGTTAGAAGCTCAAAATAGGCTTGACGAGGCTCTACAAGGTCAGAGTTTATTTTGGCAGGAGAAGGCAAAAGTAAATTGGAACATTAATGGTGATAGAAATACAAAGTTCTTTCACAGGCTTGCTAATATATAAAAAATACAACTAGAGGGATATCTTCCTTAAGAATTGGAGACAAAATATCCACTTGTCTTAAAATAAAATTCACACATTTAAATATTTAATTTTCTTAAAATAATATTAAAAATATTTAAATATTAGTTTTGTAAAATAATATAAACATTTAAATAATAATATTAGAAATTTTATATTTTAATATGTTATTGAAATGTGTTTAAATATTATTTAAGAAAATAATATCATTTAATTTTTATTAGTATTCAATATTTTAAAATGATAATGTCGTAACGCCATACTTTTCTTGCGTTTGATGGGTGATAATAGAGTTTTTTTAAGGGCAAACAAAACAACTAAGAAAATCTGTTTTTTTAAGGCAAACAAAACTAGATACAAAAGATTTCCACTCTGCTCGGTTTAAAGTATACATGGTTCATTTTATCCATTTGACTTGTTGCTATATGTGCATATTTATATACTAAAGCAGTAATTACCTACATAACAACTGAGATTTTAATGATTGTAAGAAAAAGAAAGTAAAAGAATTTAGAATAGACACAAAAAAATGCTCTTCATCATCAGTTGATATTCTGTAGAATGTGTTCAAAGGTTGATATTTAGTCGAACACTGATCAAAATGTAGCATGTGTTACAAAAATTGAAATGCAGACAAGGTTGTGAAATCAATACACAAATAGAATAATTCTTAGGCCTTTTTGTGTCTAGTGCCCGTGCTTGAGTGGGTCTTAGTGCAAAGGACTTTTCGTCCTTTGGCACGTCGTCGCTTTAAGACAGCTCTTCCATTTGTTGTGCTCATTCGTATGCGGAAGCCATGAACGCGTGCCAATGATTTTCGTGATCTGCTTCTCTTTGTTAGATTAAGAGCAGTCCTTCCTGCTGCTACAATAACCAAGCCGCGACCACTTTGTCTTCTTAATCCAACATTAGATGTCAAATTAAATCCTAACGACAAACCTGTGAACATTCAGAAATCAGAAATAAGTTGATCTATATCCACATTTCAAAAGAATTACAAGCTCTTCGTATTTTCGTTTTACATACACATTAATGATATGAAAATCAATAAGTAGTATTAGAAACTAACATACCTTAGAGAAAGTAAAATGAGTATCATCATCCTAATTAAAAGCATTGTAGTACTCATTAAACATCCTAAAGAATAAATTTGAGGCATACTAATACTACTTTCAAACTGGTTCAATTTACTTGCATGATTGGTCACTAATGTCAATTTTTTTCAATAAACCAACCTTAAGAAAAGAATTAACTACATGACTAGCATAGCAACTTGCATTCAATGTAGTCGAGCACGCGATCTGTAAGATCGGTCGGCTTGTAAAAGATCATAAAACTCGGATCGTTAGCACAACACTTAAGATCCTACCAAAGGAAAAAATGATAATTATTTTCATACATATATATATATATACACACATACACACAAAAACATGAAAGTTATAACCCAGACACACACAAAAAAGCCTCAACACTTTTTTTTTTCCGATCTTTCTTTTAAAAGCTAAATCTTGACCACACTGACAATGAAAACGATATTTCTCAGATCGTACGTAGCATTCTCAAACATCCTTACTACGTAAGATCTTACAATCTTACAACCCAACACTCGATCTTGACTACAAAACTTACATTCATGAGAGATCTTATCCACTTACAAGCCCACCCAATTTCCATTACAAAATCAGAACCATAAACTTCCATTAGTCCTTAAGATAAAATTTCACTTGAAAAACACAGAAATGAAACATTCACCACATTCGTTAAACCCCTACTCAAAACAAATAAAAAAATCCAACAACAAAAACATTTTTTTTGGAAACAGATTACCAATTACGTACCTAACAAACAACCATACGAATCAATGATGATAAAGATTAAACTGTACTTAAGGCCAAAACAGAAAAATTAACCAAACAATACAAGCATGCTTATAGTTAAACAAGAATCTAACACTTGAGCATGTTTGTGTAAACTAGTTTATCCAATCTCATTGTTTCCTTGTGTCAGTTAGGTTTACAACAACAACAAAAAACTCAGAAAACCTAAGAATTTGCGGGACTTCCCATTGCGAAACAAAGTAATTTCAAGCACAAAAACGAGAAATTAGGTTTGAAAAAAGGAAGAAGTACCTGAAATGGAAGAAGAGTGGAACGAGAGAGAGGAAGGTGAGGAGGCGAAGGAGCAATGAAGCAATGGAGAACGAACGTTGGAGGAATTGAGAGAGAGTGAAGATGGTTTTGAAGCGGTGAGAGTTGGTGCTTTCAGTCGCATGGATAACAGAGGAGAAACCGATAACGAAGCCATTATCCTCTTTTTTGGTCTTTCTGCCAACTGTGTTCGCTTTTTAAACAAACGAGATTCGTTGCAGTAAGTTTCGTATTTCCAAATTTGAGAATGAAAATTTGCATGATGGGGATGTAGCTCAAATGGTAGAGCGCTCGCTTTGCATGCGAGAGGTACAGGGTTCGATCCCCTGCATCTCCATTTTTTCATTTTCCACTTATTTTTAATTACCTTTGCATTTTATCATATTTTACGCCTCGTGTTTCTTTTTAAGTTTTATTGTTATTTATGTTATTTGATGAACAAAATAGAAGAATTGTTGTTTGCTTATTGAACCTTTTTTTTCTCTTTCACTTTTTTATTATCAAATACTGATGTATTCGTTTTTAATGTTCTATTGTTTAACTCTTTTAAATAATTTATCTTATGTAAATACGTGTTCCATTGTTTAACTCTTTTAAATAATTTATCTTAAATACGTGTTCCATTGTTAGTAATTGAAAGGAATGGATCAATTTATTAGATTTGGAGTATGCATGAAACTACGAAATATTGTATTTTGTTCGGATGTATTTCTGTTCTTTTTTAATAAAATTATGCGGTTCAGTTTGATTTGTGGTTTGTATTGCACAATACGAATTAAATCGAATCAAACCGCATTATAATACAACTCAAATTTTATTTAACTCACATTTAACCCAAATTTAAATCTATTATGCTTTAATCTTGCAATTACGAATGATTTTCTCTTCCCCACACTTAAAGTTTCGGTTAAAGTCTTATCAATCTCTCATAGTGATATCACGTATTCTTCTCATCTTTTTTACATGTACATCCTACATCTTCAACTTTAATCTCTCATTTGTTTTGTTCTTTCTTTTTCATCTTCTTTATTTTTATTTTATTATTCTCTCTTCAATTACGTTTTTAATGCACCTTTTAATTAAAGACACCTCTTTTTCTCTAATATCCACTCTCTTCTGCCCTTTCTTTTTTATCTTCTCTAATCTTTCATCTCCTCTATTTTTTTTCTTTCAATATAATATTTATGATATTGTTTTATGCTATTATATATTTTTTATTCTATTTTTCTCTAATCATATTTTTGTTTATTAAATGAAAAGTTGGTGCCCAAATATGATGAATTTTGTTGTTATTTGATAACAGATAAATGACTTAATACAAAGTTATGTTGTCATCTATATGTGTATGTATGACTCAATAACTTTTTATAAAAATCGAATCAACTCAAACCGTATTATTTTGGTTTGGTTTGGTTTGATTTGGTTTGGTTTCCAAAAGTCAATTGAACCAAACCGAATTGCATACTTTTTTCTCTTGCGATTCGGATGACTTTTTATGTCAAAAACGCTCAAACCGCACCGCTAACACCCCTCTTCATTGATATTTTGCTATCTTAAAATTGAAATATTTTGAATCTAAAGGAACAAATAGTGTGTAAAGTATTCCTCCATTTAATTAAAAGAAGTCAATGAACGATATTCACATTAGAAAATGCACGAAAGATCAATATTGAATCAGTTTCAAGCCAAATATATCTCTAATTTCTCACGTTAGTATATTCGACAACAATCATGATTTAATGCAATTCAATTTGAAAGAAAGTGCAAACTTCAATCTTAACTAAAAAAATCTCAATAATGTTTCTAAACTTACCTTGAGTATATATGTCACTACAAGTTGATATTCTAGGATTTTATTTTGAAACTCCATTTGTATTGCACTTAATCCAATTATGACTAAGGAAACGCTGATTAAATTTTATGATTCTAGATCCGCGAGGAGGTCGACATTTGATGCAAGAGCATTTTTAAGAATTGTAAAATCGTGAATTGAAGAATATGTGTTAGGTCTGTGATTTTATGGTTGGCAACAATTTTGATAAAACAAGGTGTTGACAATAATTCTATCAAAACATGTTTCATATGGAAAAACATGTATTGTAGCCTAATGTTAAACAAGATATCATAACATCTTAACCAGATGGTACAACAGTGTGTGCGGGTACTTATTTGACAGATGTCCTACCAAATGTTGTAACATGTTGCAACAGAACATCATTATATTAAAGCTGGATATATATCCTTGAAGATTTGATTGAAAAATATGAGACTCTAGAGATTTCTAGTACTCATAATAGGCGCAGGAAATCAAGGATTGTTAGGAATAATTGCATATTTGATTTATTTCATAAAAAGGATCTTTGAGACATTTTAGGAAATATTTGAAAGATTTGTTTTTGTTTCTATTTTCGTGGAGAATAATATTATGCAGGGATTTAGAGCTGGGGATTATATTTGATTGAAGAGTCCAAGCCCAACTGCAGAAGTCTATATAAGGAGTCGTCCAAGACTTATTTTTTAAACATAGTTTTTTTGTAAAACCTTGTGAAAAATAAGGGTTTAGGGTTTTATAGTTCCTTAGGTTCTCTGTATGTTTATTTGTATATCCTCAAGTATCTTTGATGCATATGAATTGACTGATTGTTACTTGTTCATCAAGTTATTGTTCTTTTCGAAGCTTTTAAGCAAGAGTTGAGTATTGTTCTTAGTTAAGCTTTTAAGTAAATGAAGTATTTGTAATTTAGAAGTGTGTTCTTCCTTTTTGGTTTGTTGAGACATTCTCTGGGACTGGAATTATTTGATATCACTACGGTAATTGGGAGTGAGAGGGGTTCTCATATCTAGGAGGTTCCTAGGTAGAAGTTGCACTGAATAAGGATTAAATGAGAAGTGTAAACTGGGACTATTTACCTTCAAATTGATACTATTGATAGTAGATTTCTTTCCTGGCTTGGTATCCCCCAGAGTAGGTGAGTTTACACCGAATAGGGTTAACAATTCCTTGTGTCCTTTAAGTTTTTGTACTTTATCTTCCTACATAATATTTTTGTTTTTAGCAAGTCTGTTTGTTATCATCAGATGTCGTAACATTTGTGGTGACATTGTGTGTTGTTAAGACATAAGTCTTGACATCTTATATTGTGTGTGCTAGAATTTAAATTGGCATCAAGGGAAAGCACCCTATTCGGTTAACTAGGTGGAATTCAGGAATATATTTTCTGGCACTATGGAGAAAGAAGAATGATATAACAACAGACCACCCATGTTGGATGGTTCCAACTATGACTGGCGGAAGGTCATAATGATAGTTTTTCTGAAGTCTATGAATAGCAAATCCTAGAAGGCAATTTTGAAAGGATGAAAGCATCTTGTTGTGAAGGAAATTGACAAAGATGGGAAACAGATTGAAACTGAAACTATAAAACCTAAAGAAGTCTGGGATGAAAATGATGATAAGGAAGCCATTGGAAATTCCAAGGCTTTAAATGCTCTTGAAATTATGGCTGTCAGATCTCGGATGTCCTAGATGTCGAGACACCGGATCTGGCTTCAACACACAACAACAAGATCTAGGAACAAAATAAACAGTGCAGAAAGTAAATAACACAAAGATATGTTTATCCAGTTCGGTGATAACAACACCTACTATGAGGGCTACCAAGTCAGGGACGAAATTAACTAGATAATATCAATTTGTAGACCTTACTGCAAATATCCCAATTTACATCCTACGCACTTAATCACTACCCTTTTCTTAACTTTTATCTAAGACACACCTTGGTATGAGGCTCTCCTCAAATCCCTTTTTCAATCACACTTAGAGATTGGAGCAACTCTAAACATAAGTAGAGAACAAAATCATAAGTCACTTATCCAAGACATACAAAACTCAATGCTTAAAAGCTTATGAGAATTGACACACAGACACTCATTGCTTAAAAGCTTATGAGCATCTGACACATAACTTACAACCCCAAAACAGTCATACTTTCTATCAAGATGATATTAGAGAGGCTCACAAATAAGGATTCTAAAACCCTAACAAAACACACACGTAAGTTCTACCTAATACTAGGTATACACCAGTCTATGTATAACATTACTCTGGACTGGGTTGGGCTTCAAATCACAGCCGTGAGGCTGCACAAACTTCTCCAAGAAAATAGGTCTTCAATCATTAGTTTTCTAAAATGTCTCCATATTTAGAAACTTTGTATATCTTCAAAAAACAACATAGAATCTCTGATTTTTCAATCTTGGATGCCACATAAGTTAACTAAATATTCCCTAAATATTCAGTAACTAACATATCAGCTAAAACATAATTGTCGACTGTTGCTGACGCAACGTCTTATCCTCCTGGTTGGGACATCTTATTCGACATGTTGAAAAACTGCAAGTTGAAACATCTTGTTCAACATGTTATTGTCAAGTATGTTTTACCAAAATGTATGTCAATCATAATTTCATAGAAATAACAATCTCCCCCTTTGGCACATTTTGGCTAAAACATACAAATAACCCCTGCACAAGAAAACATTATAAAGTATGCTTGAAAATTGAAATTCTAGTATGACAGAATTTAAATGTCCTATGACATGTCGAGACATGTGATCTGACTTAAATATTACAGAAATGTATAAACAACTAAAACCAGTACTAAAAAGCATAAACAACACACATGATTTGTTAACCCAGTTCGGAACAACCTTCCTACTCTGCGGGTATACCAAGCCAGGGATAAGTCCACTAAAATAGCATCAATTCATAGACCCTACAACAAATCTCCAGTTTACGACCTAATCACTACCCTTTCTATACTTTTATCTAAGACTTACCTAGATATGAGGCCCTCTTTAATCCCTCTTCAATCACAGACAACAATTGGATCAAAACAGGAAGACACAATTCCATGACGGCAAAACAGAAGACACGTTTCCATGATAATACCTAGCCAAGACTCTTGATTAAGAACACAACTTGGAGTTTCTTACAAGCTTCCTCCAAGAACAATACTCAACTCATTACCTACAGGTGTATAAGGGAGAATAGAGTGACCATCTCTCAGCCCGAGTGATTCACTTACACCAACTCTCCTAGAGAGTGACTACAGACTCAGCCCTAATGATTACATCTTCACAATTCTCTGCTGGTACA